CTGGAATGCAGATCTTGTTCCTCTCCTCCGCTTTGAATTATCTTGAAAGAAAATCTTCCAGCTTCGAGGAAACCTTCCTTATCCATCTTCTCATCCCAAGCACATCCAGGCCCAGTGGAATGCTGTGTGATAGGGCAGACAAGGCCCCCAGCCTGCAGAACAGCTGGAGCAGAGGAGAGAAAGAAGAGCAAGGGCGGGTTAGTTTGGACACAGGCCTTCTTTGTGCCGAGCAGGCTCTCTGGCAGAGTGGCCTCCCAGTAAATGTTGGATTTTATCCTGTGCTTCTTTAGTCATCCCACTACTGTCCTCTTAATAGACCCCGTCCTGATCAGCCACACGGTTCTCTGAGCTGCCTCACAGTGCTCTTTGCTGCCATGTGGTGATTTGGGACCAAGTCGTAATAGCTGAGGAGTGCTGTAGAGGGGTATGAGCTAAATGCCATTCCTGAGATCTCCTAGACTCAGGTCTGTCTGATTCCAGAGCCCAGGCACCTTCCAGTCTGCTCCATTCATGGCCCCAAATCCGATGTGTTTCCTCTATTCAGAGCGCCCATGGCCACATTTCCCAAGTTACCTGCTATGGGTTGTTGCGTGGAGTAGATAATCGGGGGATACTCAATAATTCCTTCTAACAGGTGCCTCTTTCTGCATCTGCAATGACAGGACAAGAGTCGAATGACTCTGTGTCTGCTTTCCCTTAGAACCCTTTGAGAAGTCATCAGCTATCCCAGCTGTTGTGGCCCCTACTGCCTCAGCAGTATGTCAGGACCAGAAAGAAGAATCTTCTCATGCGCCCTTTGCTTTGAGTAGGCGTGAGACTAGTCTGTTGTCTGAAGAAAGGATCTTGGGGATGGAGGGTGCTAAGTCCTGGGGATGGGGGATGCTGAGTGATGGTGTTGGGGACACTGATCCATGGGGGTGAAGGATGCTGAATCATGGGGATGGGTAATGCTGAGTCATGGGGTAAAGGATGCTGAGTCATGAGTATGGAGGATGCTGAGTCATGACAATGGATAATTCTGAGTCATGATAATAAGAATGCTGAGTTATGGTAATGGAGAATGCTGAGTCATAGTAATGGAGGATGTTGAGTCATGGGGATGGAGAGTGCCAAGTCATGCTGGGGCAGAATGCAGTGTGACTCATAGTAAGAGACTCCTGACCCATGTTGTTTTACTCAGTCATCTGTTCACTGGATATTTACCGAGTATCTCATTGCTGCAAGGAACCAGAGTGCTCAATGCAACAGGGACAAAACAAATCTAACACATCTTGCCATTAGGAAACTTCACTGGGAGCGACAGACCATGTAGAAACAACCGCATCAATAGATGGGACGTGGCAGCTGGCAGGTGAGCTATGGAAAGGCATTAGGCTCGCTGTGAGGGGTCCTGGTCACAAGGTCAGGGTTAGAGGGGAAAGGCAGGGGGTCACTTCCCTTCGGTTCTCTGACAAGGCGTTTGCTCCAGCACCTCCTGTGACTCACTCCAGTTGTGTGTTGCAGTCATCAGCTCAGGGTCTGGCTTGGAAATTTTGGATGTGGGTCCTACTCGCTGAGATTCAGACTAAATTCCTTTGGGGGAAAGATGTAGGGATCTTTAAAAGCTTCCCCTGTGTCATATTATCACCCAGATTGATAAGTACAAGGAGGGAGAAGCAAGAGACCGACTCAAAAAGCACTCAAAATCTAGTAGGAAGATGTCAAAGTGGAAATGGAAAATTCTAAAACCGCATCACCAGGGTACATGAGAAATAGGGTGCAGAGGGAAGCCCTGGGAGGTTGGACTGTGGGATGAAGTCAGGTGAGACATCTCAGCTCCAACCTCTGCTTCTCACACCAGCCAGAGACCTGCTCCTGTGTTTTTTCACACCAGACAGAGTTTTGTTTATCCTTCAATTTAATATGTGGGATTGTGTAGCCATTCTTTGTGCCTCCCTTAAAGAGTGTCCAGCCTGGAGCAGGGTGAGTGGGGGCTGTCCGGGTAGCTCCGTACATTTCTGGTATGTAACCCCTGGCCTGTGCCTGTTTGATGGACAATGAAATGGCTGAACCTATTGTTTGGAGGGGGTTGGTCAATGAAAGATGCAATTAATGTCACGTTTCAGAAACTTCCCTTCAAGTGCCGTGGACAGAGTAGAGCACAGGAGGTGGAGCTCAGGGCCAGGAGGCCAGTTTGGTGGCTGGAGCAGAGAAAGACTCGAAACGGGGTGGGGGTTGGGGAGCAGTGAATTAGGCTCGAGAAGATTTGTCAGATGGAGCTGGAAGGGCATGGTGACTGAGTGTTGTGCTGGATGACTGGGGAGGGTGGGGGGAAGGGGCATGAAATCAACAACGGTCACCGTGTGTCTGGCTTGAGTGACTCAATTGTGGTCCCATGTTGCGGGGAAGAAAGAGCCTGACGGGGAGCAGATCTGAGTATGTTCAGGGGTACAGATATGGCTACTTGGACTCTGTCCTGGGTTAAGCATACTTAGCTTGAAGTTCAAGGAGGAAGACCAATTCACCCTTCCAGAACACTAGGGCACCAGCGACCCAAAACACCACCTCCAGAAAGAAAGAGGTGCTAAATTTGATGCTAAGCCCGACCATCTCGAGGGATGCATGATATTCCAGGCAGGTGTGTATCCTTTGCAACCTCCCTCACAGGTTCCCAGGATCCTTTGGACTTCAACATGCCGTGTTTCCAGGCAGGTCTAGAATACAGATAAAGACAAACTTTCACCTGAAAGACAGAATCATCACGGTGATTCAATAAAATTCAAAAAAAAAGAAAGAAAGAAAGATGGAATCAGTTCACATAAGGCACATAAGGCACATCCACAGGGGTAGACACTCGATGGTGTGCAGCTTGACAAATAAACACGTGGCTTCGTGGGGGGCTGGGCGGTAGAGTCTGGACAGAGTCGGATCAGTGAACTTCTGCTCTGACCCAGCACAGCCAGGCAGGGAATGTTGACCCATTTAGTTTCAGAGTTTAAAGCTGTCCCTCGATGGCCTTTCAAAAGTACCCAGTCTTATACCCTGGAGGGAGGGTCTAGTTGTGGATCACCTTAGTGAAATCATGGCATGGGTCTGAGCTTTAGCCTCCTCTAATCTGTCAGGCTGATGTTCTAATTCTCACCTGCCCTGCCTCTTTCCTGAGGGTGTTGTAAAGATCTATTGAGAGAGGAAAAGTGGACTTTTGTGGTCTCCCTGGACGTCTCACCCCTCTGACGGTATGGGGCATTGCACTAGTGTGTGAAAGAGCAGCAAAGTTTCTGGTCTCCCAGGAGATGTGTGTTTAAGGAAGTGTCCCCAAAAAATAAATTTCACAACTGCAAAGGAGCTTATCATAAAAGCGCTATGGAATAAAATAAAGTTCTTATCAGATGATCAGAAAAATACAGAAGGAAGGAAAAAAAGAAAATGAGGAAGAAAGAAACGACGAAGAAAAGGAAGGTCCAGGAAGATAGTTCAAAGGCTCAGAGCACATGTTTCGCATGTAGCAAACCCTGGTTTCAAACCCCAGCATCTCAAGTTCCCTGGCACCTCACCAGGTCATCACTGGCCTGAGGATGAAGCTTTCCTGCCCACCCAGCCGGACTGAGTATTTTTCAGGGAACTTGGGAGCTCAACTGCCCCTGGAAAGAGGAAGGAAGGGAGGGAAACTAGATGGGGGAAGGGATAAAAGGAAGAAAAGTAAATCATTCTAATTTGCAGTGTGAAATGGAATGGAAATAGATACAGACTTAGCATCGTTGGTCACATGCATTACTGTCTTATTAATGTTTACATCCTTAAGCAAAGTAATTCCACACCAGGTAATTCATTTCAGCGCTGGATGGTAAATATTTCAGGCTCTGTGGACCATGCAGTTTCCTTCCAAAGTTCTCAAATTCCTCACACCAGAACAGAGAGCAGCCATGACCCCAGACACCTAAGAGTGGGAGATGCCAGTCAAATATGGTTTACAAAACCAACAGATGTCTGATGTGGTCTCTGGACCATAGTTTGTCACCCCTAGTGCAGATGAAGGAAATCTTATTAGTGTTCTTCCAAATCCTAAAATGTACAAAGAAAGTTTTAACCTAGAAGATGCCCATCCTAGCTTTATTTATATTGGCACATAGGAGCACAATCAGACCTTTCAACAGGAAGACTGATTTTTACATTTCCATTCAATGAAATATTATAGAGGCATTCAAATGCTGTCTGTGAGTCCTGTATAACATCATGGAAACATATTTGATAACATGTCTCATGAGAAATTAAGCCATTATTATCATGACAATGAGGCTAATGATGGCCAGGAAGGGCTAAGCACTTTTTCCTTGTCATCTCACCTAATCTTCCAACCCACCCATTGGAACATTCCTTTTCATTGTGAGGATTTGCCTCCTGCAAAAGCCAAGGAAACCAAGTTGTTTAGCCAGAGGGATATTACCACTCGGGTGACAGAGCTTGGGGGTTGAACACAGGTCTGCTCAACCGCCAAAACCAAAGACAAAAGCAGACACTAGAGCTGATAGCCGTCTGTGTTCGCTTCTCTTCCAGGGGAGGAGCAAAAGAAAATTTATGCAAGTGTTGGACAGAGAGGTGATGAGTAGGAATTTCCCAGCATCGTGGGGAAGGAATCTTCCAATATGGTTCTCTCCAAGGAGAACCCACTCTTTCAATCATGGAGACACGGGCCTTGGGTCTTCTAAGGAAGCTGTGTAGAGCAGAGCCCCTGTGTAGTTGGGGTAGGGACATGTTTTTCTCAGTGGTAGGGGGCTCGAGATTCTGTTAGGGAGCACTCCCCCTCTGGTTCCGGCTTTTGTCTGTGGGAAGCACATGCCTGCCTTTATCTGTCTGGTCCAGCGGGAATTTGTAGTGTGCATATGTGTATGCTGTGTACCTGTCGGGAGGCTGTTCTTGGCTTGAGGACCTCTTTCTAACTCTCTCTCTCTTTCTTTCTCTCTCCTTTCTCTCCCTGTCTTGGCTTCCCTCCTTTACCCTCCGCTGTCTGCCGGCCTACACAGCTGACAAGGTGAACGATGACTTCTACACTAAGCGCCGGCATCTGACAGAGCTGGCGGCCAAGGGCAACCTCCCCCTGCAGCCCGTGCACCTGGAGAATGAGCCACGGGCCTTCAGCCCAGAGCACGGCCCTGCCAAGCAGAATGGACAGAAGTCCCGTGCCAACAAGATGCCTCCCCATCCCCTGGCCTACAACTCCTCCACCGCCAATTTCAAGGGCTGGGACCCCAACGAGCAGTCTCTCCGGCGTCAGGGCTATGGCAACAAGACCAAGCTGGGGACAGCCGAGTCAGGCTCCGGTGACCCCTTGGGACCTCGCCCCCAGCACTATCCACCCCCACAGCCATACTTCATCACCAACAGCAAAACAGAGGTGACTGTCTGAGCTCTCCTGCTGGAGAGCATCCTGGAGACCACACTCAACTGAGAGAGGCAAAAAATATTAAAGAATAACCCAGTCCACTCCATCCTCATCCCCCAGTCCCCAATGTCAACCTATACACTCACCCTCCACATGATACACCTACCAGTGACGTGAAATCGCGTCTTTCCTGGGTCCTGCCTAACCTGTGATGATGGGCAACCGAGCAAGACTGAAGCCTGAACGTTGAGCAAGACAGCCCAGGGGGAAACTGAGGCTTGCTTTTTCCACCGCAGCCCCCATCCCCATCCCAGGTGGCTTGAGTACCTGCCCACTCTGTGGGGCTCATTACTCTTTTTCTTCTGCGTGAGGGGCATATGGCAAGGGGCACAATTGAGAGAAATTGCCCTCTGGCATGTCCCAGCATTGGACACACATCAGGCTGAGAGAGATGGAGAGTGAGAGAGGACCCGCAGAATATTCTGGAAAAGAGCAGTCGTCGGGGGAGGCATAAGTGTATCGTCAGCCTCATTCCAAGAAGAGATGCAGACCCCAGATTTCCACGAGCTCATGAGACTCTCCTTGGACTCTGAGCATTCTACTGACAGTGATATTCACATCGCCAGTGTTGGAAGCAAAAAACAAAACCACACACACACATACACACACACACACACACACACTTCAGCTCACAAAAGCATTCATAGACCCTGAACTCTCCGAATGGAGTTGGAAAGGAAGCATGTGCTAGAGAACATCTACAAAGAGATTGGCCAGGGACAGGGGAGGAGGAGCAGGTGCTGGTGTTGGAAGGAGGGGCCAGGGTCCAGAGACTTTCACATGACACTTTTTTTTTGCAAAGAAAAAAAAAAGAAGCCCACTACAAAGCAGACAAAAAAGAGCAAATTAATCTCTGACCCCGCCACCCCTCCATCTTCAAGGCAGGAAATCAACCACGATATTGACTGCCACTTTTTTAAAATCACCTTTGAAAAGTTAACTAGAGGCAAGATGAGGCCCAGAGCTTTCGTGGTTTGGAGATTCCTTCAGTGTTCTGGAGATTTCTTCGCTGTTCTGGAGATTCCTTCTTGCCTCCCAGACAAGTCAGGACGCAGAACCAAATCCTCTAGGAACTGGTGATCCCCGACCCTCTGCCCCCTTTCAGCTGCCGCCGCCGCTGCCAATCTTCAACTGCTTTGGACTGAAAATGTCATAAGCGTGGGTGGTGCCTTCAATGTGTTTCTGTTCAATGACTGTCCCGTGCCCGTGTGCAGCCTCCGTCCTTTCAGCCTTTCCTCCCTCCTGTGTTTCTGCAGTATTGTTGGTGATCCCAAGTCTCCCCCACACTCCAAGGGGTTTGCTGTAATGTCAGGGGGGCCCCAATGTCAGAGATTCCCCCCTGCTGCCCACAGGGTCCAAAGGCCTCCCATACTTTCCTTCTTATTGAAAAAGACCTTGTCTTATTGATAAAGACCAATCGAACATGTCTGGGTCCCATACTTCGCTCTGTCCCTCAAATCATCTCCCTGGATACATCAGTGCATTCACACACATCCCTTCCGAAACTCCCCAGATTGTTGTCATAGCAAGTAAGTAGGTCTCAGGGGTTCCAACAAAGACCGTTTCCTGCCAGTTCTATGATTAGTGGAAACCCAAAGTCGGGGGCTTGAGAACAACGAGATGACATTGAAGGGGAGAGATTTTCCTCCATTCTTTGCTGATGATGGGGTACTTCCTGGAGACCTCGGCTTCCAGGATTGGAAACTGCACACCCTCTGGTCCAATGGTACTCAGAGCACAGAGCTTGTGACTAAGATTTCACATTTTTATCAAGGCTGTCTCTGCTTGGTTGAGCAGTGCAAGGGTCAGTACCCACTGTCTCAGCTGCTTAGCTAGGACCCCTCCGACTCCCCAGAGTGGAGCGAATGCCAATGACCACTGTCTCTTGACCTGAGTGACCTAACTACTCACACACTCTATGAGTCCAGGTTGCAGTGTTGGTGTCTAAATGGCTTCATTTGAAATACTTTTAACTTGTGAAAGAAAACCTCCCAGCATTGCACAAACAGAAAACCAGTGTCAATCCCCCTGACCAAAAAAAGTAAGGATGAAATTAAGTCCAGAAGCAACAAGGCAGCAACAAAGTCCTAGTTAAATGGGTATAGAAGGATCTGAACCTACAGCCTGGTTTTCTCTTCTCTTTTGCTCCTCCTCCTCCTCTTCCCTTTCTCCTCTTTCTGTATTTCCTCCTGAAATTATAGCTCAACCCTCTCTTCCTCCTCCCCCTCCTCCTCCTCCTCCTCCTCCTCCTCCTCCTCCTCCTCCTCCTCTTTCATTCCCTCTCTCTATGAAAGAATTTGACTGGATATAAAGAGGTGTTAAAGATAAAACAACACCCAGTGGAGACTTTCCCTGCCATTGTTGCTGATGGGCTGACAAAACGGAAGGGGAAATCCTTGAGGAAAGAGGTTGAATTGAATTAGCACTAGATGACTTATCCCTAGATCCACCCCCCCCCCCCCCCCCCCGTTCAGTGCACTGTGCACACACTTGTGGTACACAGCTCCTACCCCAGGAGAGTCTGCATTGACTTCTCCAGTCTCCATCACTCACAAGCTCTGATCTGGGCTCCCCTGTAGCTCACCATTAAACTGGGCCCCCACTTCTGCTCTCCCAGCCCTGATGCAGGAACTTCTTCCGCCTCTGAGTTGACAGGGTCCCACCACCTCCTGACTCCCTCCCCCTCGGAGCTTGCTGCTTCCTGTGAGTTTCCTTGGTTAGAGTCTGCAGCGGGGGCGTTGGCAGAAGAGCTGCTGTGTGGTCAAGATGATGAAGAAGGAAGACACCCCGGTGGGGGTGGCCCCTCCCAACTCCTTACCCCTCACCCTGGGCTTTAGGAGCTGAATGGAGGGTGGGAGGGGACAGCGGGAACAAGAAAGTTACTTCCTGATCCTCCTCTGGGAGGATAAAAAGGCATATCATGGCATGTGATTTATGGAACTGTCTGGAACGGTCATGGCTCCATGGAGATCCTGTAGCTAGAGTGGAAGGATGGAGAAGAGGCAGGCCGTAATAAAGCAGAGACACTCTCTCGTGCCTCCAGTGGGCTTCTTCTTGCCTTTAGCTTCTTGCCCCAACCTCCAACCCCCACGGGACCCGAGTCTGCCAACCCCTTCTTCCCCTCCCAGAGTGACTCAGCCTCCATCTGCCTTGGGCACTGCCTGGCATCCTCCTTCCAGCTCCACCCCCCCCCCCCCCAGTTTTTTTTGTGTGTAAATGGAGCATATTTTACGTGCGAATATTTTAGTAACCGTATGTTCTGCAAGTAAACCTGTGTTCATACTTGTCGACAACTACAGAGTTTATGATACCAATAACTACTTCCTACAAAGAAGAAAAAAAAACATTTGTTTGTTTTCTAAGAATGTTTATTTGTAAACATATGTATTCACTATATTAATATGAATTTCTTACCTGGCAATAAAACGAATTCTATGTGATGTGGTTGGGGGTTGCCGAGTCTCTTTCTAGGGCCCTGTATCCTCTTTTGTGCCTTCACCAGGGTGCAGCCCGATGAGCATGGGATCACTCTTTGTCCCCAGAGGGATGAGGAGATGTTTGCAGGGAGAGAATGTTCCATGGAGATTGTAATTCATACACATCTGCCAAAGGACTTTTTTTTAATGGGAAGCTGGGCTGGAGCAATAGCACAGTGGGTAGGGCGTTTGCCTTGCACACGGCTGACCCGGGTTCGATTCCCAGCCTCCCATATGGTCCCCCGAACACCACCAGGAGTAATTCCTGAGTACATAAGCCAGGAGTAACACCTGAGCATCACCAGGTGTGACCCCCTCCCCAAAAAAGGGAAAAAATGGGAAGCCTAATGGGTAAGAATCTATCCCACCTCTCTACGTTCATGTCCCTGACTTGGAAAATACACATATCTGTGGTGTGTATGTGGGTTCCCAGCATGGCTCCACTTATTCTTCTCCATCGAGAAATTTGCTGAAATTTGCACTTGCTACCAGGGGACCAGGGTTGCAACAGGCAATGCTACAGAGAGGATAGGAAGTCAGCTTCCACCTCTACTTATTAGATCGTTTCTACATCTGGATTCTTTGAGCATTGTATCAGGATTGTTTGCAGGTAGGAACCTGCCTGAATCTGGGCAAAGCATGTTTAATATGGTTGAAGCTCAGAAGGAGGTGCTGGGATGGAGGTGTGAGAGCAGGGGGGTTGTTTGAGAAGTTGCGGGGACACTGCAGCAACTGGCAGAGGGTAAGCAGGGGGAGCCACAGAGCAGCAGAGGAGTCTTTGTGCCAGCAGCCACTCTGAGGGACGGTGGACTTAATACTGCCATGAAACTTCAGGGGTGGGCAAGGAGCACGCATTCAGGATTCCCACCCCAGGGGAGATAGAGCCGCGGTGTTTGCTCACCAACCCCTCTTGGTGGTCATTGGAGCCTTATGTCCAGGGTGTGTTCATGCTCAGACACTCCCAGTGGGTCAAGTGTGAGGGGAGAAGGAGGCTCGAGGACTGGGAAGAGCCTCCAGCACACTGAGGTAACTCCAGATGATTGGAACTTAGCCATTGTGTACTGATGCCCTAAAGACATGGGGCTCGAAGTGGGTGGCACAAAGCCAGAGCCCCCAGGTCTACAGGAAGAAAGCTTCCTCTGCCCAGACTTGGAGAAATCATCAGTGCCAGAGAGAGAGAGAGTGGACAACCATCTGCTGGTCTTGGCACTGAGATTCAGAGATCCTTCACTGGCACCAATGCCATTGGTGTCCCTCTGTGTTGAGTCTTTGAAGTCTGTCTGCGACAGGTATGTCTCTGGCTTAGTTCTGTTAGCAGAGAAGTCTGGAAGGCAGGATATGGGGTCAGAGTGCTTGGGAATCATTCAGAAGTGGAGAAGATCGTGTGTGTGTGTGTGTGTGTGTGTGTGTGTGTGTGTGTGTTGGGAGTGTAACAAACAATTTCATTTGTGAACATGTGTATCTGGTTACAACTCGTAAACATCAACAATTGCATGAAGGCTAGTTTGCTAAGCACAATTTAAGACCTCACAACTCTTTAAAGGTGGGAGACTGGGGCTGGAG